GGTCCAAACAGAATGCAAACTTGCACATGAAATTGAAAGACCTAAACCAAACTAAAGGCACAAAACAACATAGTTGTCATACACACCAATTCCTCATTATACATTATTCACACAGGTGTAAAAGGACCTATAAATGAACTCAAACACAACCATAACATTAGCCTTAGGCAAAAACAGAATATGGCTCATGGAATGAAACCAACAAATCACAACACCAAGCACCTAACCTCATGACAGTTTACAAACTTATGAAAACAACCATTACCAAAGTTCAAACATGATTTTGAGGGATTCTATAGTATGCTCAAGCTAATGTACATCAAAGATAAGCATGGTGCATAATAAATGTAGCTAACAAAAGTGACTTACCTCTTGAAGACCTCCTAGAAAGCTCTTTGTGCAAAGCTTTTGGTTGAATATAAATAAGTTAAGCAGCTTCTCTACACCTCCAATGCAATGTATAGAATATTCAAGTTCCTTCCAAGCAGGCTTCTTGTGTAAATAAATTGACTTAGGCAAGAAGTAACCAATGGATCTTATGACAGATTTGGGAGATGGTATTACAGTTGAATTGTTATGACTTGGACAGTAACTACATCCTATATTTGAGGTGTTTGAAGAGTTGGAAGAGATAGAACAGGTCTGAACAGGGAGATTTCTTGGTTAATGCAGAAAGTCAAATTTCTTTGATTCAAGAGTTGACTTTTGGCAAAACTACACTTCTGGTGAAAATAATGGTTGGGACAGCTTCAATACAACATTTGTGGGTTGCTTGAGGTGTTTTTGGATATTTTCAAAGGTTGGAAATGGTTTTGGAGTGAATTTTGCCCAAGACAGATTTTATGCTCTTTTGGAATTCCTTAGTTAGCAGACAAGATGGAGAACAGAAAAGAGAGAGTGGTTTTTTGCTTGGATTAATGGATGTTCTGATGTATTGAGTAACATAGAAGGATCCTCTATTTATAGGAAAAATGAAGGGTGAGGATAGATTTGTAACTTGGCACTTTTAGAGGGAGTTTGAAAAGGTAACTTTGCTTGAGGGTTTGATGCAGCTGCAAAATCAGATCCTTGGCTCAAGATGATGCGTTGCTCAAGTGGTATGAATGATATAATAGTGATTGGAGTGGCTAGGCAGTAGGGGGCTGTTTGCTGCAAGTGTGCCAAAAAGTTTCTCTTTCTTCCATTATATGATTAAAATACTCCCACTTGCCTCCAAGTTGCAAGATTCACTAAACCTCCTCACTTTCTGCATTTCTTCTCTTCAAATCCTCTAAATATCAGATATAAATAATATCCAAGGGCTGAGAATAGCTCAAGTGGTCAAAGGATGAGTTTGTGAAAAATTGAAAGTGTGGGACTCAAGTGTTGAAACACCATCTTGTTAAATTCATAACTCTCAGCTCATAAGGGCTATGGAGGAGTTCTAATACATTTTGGAAAGCCCTCATGTAGCTCTACAACTTTCATGATTTCATGAGTTTCAAATTCCCAAAGGAACTTGGCCAAAAAACCTCTCAAAGTTGCTGAAAAAACAAGCCTAAAAGTGAAATAACTTAGAATTTTTCTAAGTTATTTTTCCCTCTTGTAATGAATTTGGTCATAACTCCAAATCTATGCATTTTCTGATCATGGACCACTTTGGGACTTTTGTAGGACTTGTCAAGATCTTTTTAATGAGCTTTGAACAAACTCAATTGGATGTGTGGTTAAGGAGTTACGGTCTTGCCCCTTTCAAAACCCTAATTCCCGACTTTTGCGATTACTCCTCAATCCTTGATCCAATGGTCATGAAATTGTATGGTTAGGTGCAATATATCATTAGGAACATTTTTTATTCATATCTTGAGATCAAATTCCTTATGAGTGAAGAGTTGACTTTTCGGTCAACCGAACGATCGATCGGTGACTACCGAGTCGACTGTTGATGCTCCGGGTCTTTTGAGACCTTGAAACTTCTTGAATAGACTTCACTAAGCCATATGAACTTTATGGACCATGATCCCACCATTTTAACACCTTTTAAATCAAAAGTCAAACCACAATTGACTTTTCCTTATCGAAAACCCTAATCGGGTATCATGAACTGCACTGTTCTTGATCCTTGGGTGACAACCTCAAATTGGATTCATACTTGATCCAATGGAGTATGTTTAATTATGTGGAGACTTATCTCATGGAGAACCAATCCAATACGTTGACTGATTAACCGTCGAAACCTCGATTCTCGGTTGTACGGAACCCTGATTCCTGTATCTTAACAAAGACAAACTTGAAATAGGTTGAGGTTAGATAATCAAATGAATATGATCCTAAAATGATGATGAAGATCTAAGGGGTTAAAATTTTAGGTATGACAATGATCATAATGAAAATCTCTTGTAAGTACAAGGGGACTAGACTACTCTCGGTTTATGAGAGGAACCATGATAACTTTGTGTGTCTCCTTCTTTCTTTCATTCTTTATCCGCTGCTTACCACTCATCTCTGATTGATTCAAATTATATACTTTGTATTTAGAATATGACTAGAGATTTCAAAAGAAAGAAAAAATCTAACATAATTCAACCCCATTTCTTATGTTTTTCTCACCTTCACTGTCAGCATGTTGTAGCTTTTACAATTGTTTTGTAATCTTCTACTGCTTCATTCTCCTTCAGCAATCATTACCAATAGTGTGTTCTCATCATCACACTCTTGTCTTCCAACTTTAGCTTCATCTTCTTGAGGTTATTTCTTGTTGGCACTGCACTTTCTTGCAAAATGACCATAATTTTGACAATTAAAGCACTACACGCTACTTTTGTCTCATTTCTTACTTCCTCATCTTCCTCTAATGTTACCACCTCTAGAGTTGTTTGATCTACCACCCCTATTTCTGTTGTTTTCACCCCCTTTGAAATGTTGAATTTTTAGAATTTTTGGATTCTCTTCCACCAAAATTCTGAAAGTTTCCTCTACCTTTGTTCATGGGTCACTTTTCTTTCACTGTCTTGTCTTTTTCATTGAAACAAGCTTGCAAAATGGCATCTTCCTTTTCCTTATCAACATTCTTTTCCTTCATCTTCTGCTCATGAGTTTCAAGAGAGCTTTGTAGCTTGTCTTTGGTCATTGTTGCAAGATCATTCGATTCCTCAATCGCAACCACTATATTGTCAAATCTTGTCGTCAAAGAACGCAAGATTTTTGCGACAACATACTGTCATATAATCGTTTCTCCACACGTCTTTACTTGGTTTGCCAATCTTGCAATTCTCGTAGTAAATTCACTAATGGTTTCTTTCTCCCTCGTTTGAATTAATTCCAGCTGTCTTTTATGAGTTTGTAACCTCACCACCTTTGCCTTATCATCTCATACATAACTTTTCTCCAAGATTTCCCAAGCATCCTTTGAGGATGTACAATCACTAACTTTTTCAAAGTTGTCGGAATCCACACATTGATGAATAAGATATAACATCTTGTAATCTTTGGTATTTTCTTCTTTATGTGAGGTTCTTTGTTCAGTCGTTACACATTCTAAAAGTGGAGTAGCACTGTTCTTAATCACTAAACAACATTTTTATTTGCTTGCATCACATGTTGTAATTCTTCATTGGAGATGAAAATCATTTTCGCACACTAAGTGTTTGATGTATCGAATCAGACTCTTGATGTCAAATGTTAAAACATGGAACCACAAGTGTGGTGATTTTAAAATGGAGAGAGAGAGAGAGAGAGAGAGAGAGAGAGAGAGAGAGAGAGAGAGAGAGAGAGAGAGATTATTGAAGGTGAAATATGTTGGATTATCATTAATGAAATACCCAAAGAATATATAAATAATTAGGGGTGTTCGCAGTTCGGTTTGGATCGATTTTGAAGCAAAATAACATTCGATTCAAAGGTAAATTTACTTACGGTTTGGTTTAGTTTTAGATGATTGATTTAAAAAAATTTGATTCGATACGATTCAATTTAATGCGGTTTAATTTGGATATCCAAATTATAAATTATAACTTTTATTAATATTCTAAAAGTGCTAATAAATAACAAGTTTGACATAATATGTAATATACTATATCAAAAGTTAATATTACAAGATGAAAATAATAAAAATAAATAGATTAAATCAAATTAGTAAATATTATTTAAAAAGATAAATATCATATAATATTAAAGTAATACAACATATATACTAATAAAAAATAAATAAGTATAAAAAATATATATTTGGTTTGGTTTGGATCGGTTTTGAAAAATTAATTTGAAATCCGATTCGAACCGAGCGGTTTTTACAAAATGACATTGAAATACATTTAAATTTTTTTTTAATTTTTTACGGTTTTTCGATTTTTTAGATCAATTTACGATTTTTATTTGAATTTGTTTAAATTTAAACACTCTTATAAACAATTACATTGGCCGTGAAATACAAATAATAAACAAAATTCACAAAATATCACAGCAGCAACTGATTATTTATATTGTGTAATCGATTAATGAATCATTTTGTTTCAACTGTAATCATCTATAGATAATATATAATCACCAACATCCAAACTCTTTTTTAAAAGGATGAAACCGATTACATCTATGATAACTAATCAGATACAAGTGAATTACATTTTTTTCACTTAACAGTAAACACATAAATAAACTGAATTAATACAAGTTATAATCTGGATTCGAACATATTGACGTGTAAATTGTTTTGGTGGGACAGAGAAGTACATTCACACATGTATGTTTCTTCCGGATACATATTGACCCAAAAAATTGCAATAGAATCAATGATTAGTCAATGAATCCTGAATCTTACTTTTTGCGGCAACAACCCCGAAACTAAATCCGCAAGTTGCAAATCTTAGCTTCCACGGCGCATTATAGCGTCACCCACTTTTTTATTACCAAAAAAAAGTCGTTGAAACTAATTAATGACTTCTTCAAAACACCTCGCCTGACGAAGACTCTCTTTCTTTCTCTCTCTAACATCCATCCACCCGCCATTTTCTCTCTCTAGAAATATGACTACTACATTCGTCCATAACCGGAGCCAACACTCCGGCCACCGTGCCACGCCGGATAACATCTCCCGTTCATCAGACTTCAGCTCTTCGAATCAATCAGCCACCTCATCTTCCGGACGGAATCCAGTTGTTGCTGCTGCTATGTCGGTTGCCGGATTGTTTGCCGCTTGTTTCACGCCGCCGGATGCTAACAATTCCAAGAGTCTCGTCGTGGATTCTGAGGAGTTTAAATCTTCTTCTGGTTCAGGTAGTTGTTTGGATTAGAAATTCATTTTTGGCTTGTTCAGTAGTGTCACCGACACTTGTGAGTACGTTTAATTTATTATGATGTAGGCGTGTCTGCATCGTGTGGTGTTTCAATGTCCATCTTTCGTCTGGTTACATATCATCAAATCTTCAACACATAGAAAAGTTTCTCTTTAGGATGTAGTGGTGAATATTTTTTTATCAAGTATTAGTTTAATATTTGAATATGAATTGAGAATTTGAATCTAAATCATGAAAAGTAGTGGCTTATAATTATTATTTTGATTTGTTGCACTTCGGAATGGAAGCTTGTTCCTGCTGAGAATTTTTCTGCCACACTTCCTAAAATAAACTCTTTCTGTTTTGGACACTGACTAAGCGTTTGTTTGATTCTGCGGTGGAGAAGGTGAAAATTGATTGAGTGAATTGATTGTGTAAAATTGATTCTGTTTAAGAGCGAGTTGAATGTAAAGTAAGATGTTTGAATGATTTTATGCAAAATTGTGATGAATGGTAAATTTTAGTGTAAAAGTCACGTTTAAACTCAATCTACAAATTTTAACTTCTAGTAGAATCGATTCTGGATGCATAATCTATTCTACTTTTGAATAATTAAACACTTCAAAACCATTCAAATATCAATTATATGTATGCATTTGAAACATTATACGTTTTGAAGTGTGGTTGTAGGTAAATTTATCTTGTGCTTATCAAATGGTGTAGAATGGATTGGAATAAGCTGTTTTGTTTTTTTAGTTGCATCAAATGCTTCAAGAGCTGGTAGTCAGAGAGGGCGTGGCTCAAGCCGAGGTACAAACATTAGTTTATACAACACCACAATCCAGGGGAATGAGTCTGGCATTGTGAAGTATACTATGGAGGAAATTATCCAAGTCACCAGAAACTTCTCTCCTTCTTTCAAGATTGGTCAAGGTGGTTTTGGAGCAGTTTACAAGACCAAACTCCTGAATGGAACTATTGTCGCAGTAAAGCGAGCTAAGAAGGTTGTTTAAATTGTTGTCTATTCCTATGGTCATTTCTGTCACATTTATGTGGAATGAGAATGTTATCCGGTGAGCATCCAAATGTTGTTTGGTTGATTATCTTTTTCTTTTGCAGAGTGTACACGAGAAACATTTAGGTTCGGAGTTCCAGAGCGAGGTACAAACACTATCACGGGTCGAGCATTTGAACTTGGTAAAGTTCTATGGATACTTGGAGCTAGGGGATGAAAAAATCGTTGTTGTGGAGTACGTTCCTAATGGAACCCTCAGAGAACATCTAGATTGTGAGTTTTTCTAGCCTTTCGACATTGTTTTGTTCCTTTGTGGTTTTCCCTTGCCTTAAGGCATGAAACATTAGCTTTTTCTTCCTACAACTTAATCAAAGAATCATCACAGGCATTCATGGAAATGTTCTCGACCTTGCTGCTCGTCTAGACATAGCAATTGATGTATCTCATGCTCTCACCTATCTTCATGTGTATATGGGTATATAACTCTTTTTGTCATTAATTAATTCTTTTTTTTTTGTCGATAAATCATTCAACTCATTTCGGGTATGGCAATTGGCAAATCTACACACTTATTTTATTTGTTTCTAATGACATATAGAATGCTGAACAGAATCTTATAGTTGTTGCATACTGCATTTTCTATGTAGATCACCCCATCATTCATAGAGACATAAAGTCTTCCAACATTCTCCTCACTGAGAATTTTCGAGCAAAGGTAGCAGACTTTGGTTTTGCTAGACAAGCACCAGACAGTGACTCTGGCATGACACATGTCTCCACCCAAGTTAAAGGAACAGCTGGCTACTTGGATCCTGAATACTTAAAAACCTATCAACTGACCGAAAAGAGTGACGTCTATTCATTTGGTGTTTTGCTTGTTGAACTTGTCACAGGAAGACGCCCGATTGAACCAAAATTTGAACTCAAAGAGAGAATAACAGTAAAATGGGTGAGTAGTGTTTTCCATTTTATTCTGAAGTTTAACACCTCCTCTTCATAATTGTACTTTACCAATCCTCTTTAATGTAACTCATTTGCTACAAGTGCAGGCTATGAAGAGGTTTATTGAGGGAAACGCGATCTCGGTCTTGGACACAAGACTGGATCAAACTTCTGCAAATCATTTGGCATTAGAAAAGATACTTGAACTGGCTTTACAGTGTTTGGCTCCTCATAGGCAAAGCAGGCCTAGCATGAAGAGATGTGCAGAGATCCTTTGGGCCATTCGTAAGGATTACCGAGAGATATCGGCATTAAACTTTCGATCATATTCCACTACTTCCCAAAGAAGCACCTCATTGTGAGAGTGACAAGGAAAAAGTTCATATCAGGTAACATCACTTGCATAAAAAATAAGCATAAATAAGATAATAATGCATTAAAAAAAGAAGTTAGGACAAAATATGATCACAGGAGTAAACAATTCTTCTATAAAATAATGATAAAGCAAATTTGGCAACTGTAGTGATTAGTGATAGGTAGAATTCATATTCTGTGGAAATTGTTCATAAGAATTTTGACTTGTATATATATAAGAAGAGCATGCTATTGCTTCCATAATATTTATTTATTTTTCTTGTGATGTATTTGACAGGAAAGGAAAATTTGTATGCTATTATTGATTGATTGTAATTTTGGTTGCTGTATTGTCACTTGGTTTTGAATTTTATAGACTATTATCAAACAGTCCCCACAATATCGTGTTATATTCATACAATTATGCACATTTTACTCCAATAGTAACAAAATATGCAAATTCTTAAACATCCTACATTATTATGATTTAAAACGTTGTTCTCTTTTTTATTTATTGATTGGTATGCTTGATGAAAAAATAATTATTTTACTTTATTATTGCCCTAATTTAATTTAATTATTTTAGTAAATTTTATAAAACTTTTCACATAAAATTCTTTCAATGATAAAAAAAAGATATCGTTTATATTGTTAATAGATATTTTTTTGTCTAGTAACTTACTATTATTATCTGAACTGTTTTTTTATTTGGTATAAAAGAGAGCCTTAAAAAAAACCTAACGACAGACTGATTCTAACATGTTTAGGGAATAAGGCTCAAGAGTTATCATTAGTTAAAAATAGATTTAATTAATTTGACATAGATTTGAAGAATGGGAAGTTCATTGTTATTTAAAGTAAGATTATAATTGGCTATCTAATTAGAATATTGATTTTCTTCATGTTAAATATGATTGAATTTGATCTGGCAATTCTTTTGGTCATCCTTTTTTATTCCATGAACTAAGGTTGGGAAGTTGTGATCATTCTCGATCTCTTGGTTAACTATATCTATCAGAACTTTAGAGTTATTTTCGACCACCGGGTTTGTAATTGTGTCCTGCTAAGCTAGCTTAATCCCATGTAACATTGCCCACATCTCTATCATGAGAGCATCACACAAACCAATTTTTCACGCATAGCCTATCACCCAGTTTTCAAAAGAGTCTCTGAGTATGCATCCACATCCTACAATTGAATTATAATTTTTTCTACACACAATCACAATTGAGTTTAATTCAATTTATCTCAGGTTGTTACCATTGAACATGTTTGATTTCTAGCACTAAAGATCCAACATTATTTTGTACCCTAATGTCAATCTCGATCTTCTTAATCAGATGCATGACTTTCTCAATTGGGTTAACAGGTCTTTAAAAGCCTTCTTCAAACAAAGAGTTGTTCCCTTACTTTCATAAATACCAAACCAAGATCATAAATATTGACTTTCAGCGGTGTTTGCGCAACTCCATAGCATTTTCTTTAAGGTTTTAAGAGATTTAATCCCTGCGAGTTATAGAGTAAAAATGAGTCATCTTGTTAGATAGAACAAGTCTAATCCATACATGTGTTGCATAAAAGCAATTCCAAAACACGTGAATTAATTTTTCTTCATTGTTCGTACATCAGTTGCAGTTCCTAGAGATATAAGGGTTCCAGATGGACACCGAGCGTTAGCCAAAATGCTCTCATGATACATAAGACAAGTGAAAGACTAGATCTAGTAGGGTCCTTTTCACTTCCAGATAGTCATTATATATTTCACCTAAATTTGGATGAGTTGAAAGGTAGTTATAAGCATTACCAAAAAAAACACTTTGTCATTATAATCGCCCGTCCTAGCTTATCGATACCATCTTCTGGGAGGGGATTAGGAATAGCCGTAATACAATTAGCTAGCTCACTGGTGAACCAATTCTGAAGCAACTCTAAGTTCTACTTCTCTTTCCTATTAACCATGTCTTTCACTTGGAGGATGATATCCATAATTGATAAACTAGAACATCAATGCATAAATCAATAAAAGAACACAAAGAATTGTCAACTCAGTTCGATGCCAACAATACCTACGTCTAAAGGGCTTCCAACCCAAGAAAGAAAATTCACTATCAATAGTATTGGTGCACTTAGCCTTAAATGAACACACCTTATTCACAACCTCTTCCTAATACTATCCAATGACTTTCTATTTAGGACTCCCCCTAAATATGAGAACCCCTCTTGTTAGAACACGATTTGTTTATGACATATACTCCTTGGGTTTTGATGATAACAAAGTATTTAAAGAATAATTGTTATCTCTTTCAACGGCTAGTCAGCTGCAACTGCTATATAAGTGGCTGAAGGTTCAAACTGAATCTTCAACAAGAATTAACCAGATGAAGGAGTAGCAAGATCAACAATTATCAACTCTATCGTGTATGCAACTTTTCTGTTGTAGGTTGTAATTCTAAAAGTCTTAAGATTTCTTATATATTGAATGTCTTAGAAATCTTAAGATCTTTAGATTTTTGTCATGGTGATTTCCCGTACCTTTGATATTAGTATCATGTACACCTTGTTCTTTATTCTGCTGAACTTGTTTAGTAGTTTAGATTAAGTCTCTCGCCAAGATGCTTGAGCCATTTAAGTATCATGCTATGTACTTGAGTAATGAAAGTCTTAATCAAGTGGATTGATTGAAAAAAAAGTCTTGTATCATTGGGATACAGGCAAGGAAGTCTCTCGCCCAGATGCTTGAGTCATGTAAGTCTCGTGCTATGTGCTTGAGCAATGAAAGTCTTAATCAAGTAGATTGATTAAGCTAGATAGCTCGGTTCGTGAAACTTGGAGCAGGAAGGTTCATTTCATGGAACTTGAAGTAGAAGTCTTGAGCCAGTGTGGCTTGAGCAGGATGAATCGGTTTATAGAACTTGGAGCAGAAGTCTTGAACCTGAGGGTTTTAAGCAGGAAGGCTTGTTTCATGGAACCTGGAGCATAAGGCTTAGAGCAAGAAGTCTTGGACTCGGGGTCTGAGCAGTGTAAAAGACTTATGCAGAATGCATAAGCGATTGTAATCATGATTTGGTTATAATGAAAGTCTCTTGTGAACAAGGGGACTAGACTACTCTCAGTTGGGAGGAACCAATATAAGTTTTTGTGTCTTCTACTATTATTTATTTTCTTTTCTTAACATCTGCTACTAAGAATAATCAGAATCTAAACACCAATTTAGATTATGAACTCTGATCAGACGTAAATTAAGAAAATGGAATACACAATTCAACCCCCCTTCTTGTGTATTTTTCTCACCTTCACCTCTCACTTTCTCTCAATCACTAACTCTAGTGATCAACTTTAATAAACAACTTAAAGAATGTTGAATTACAAATCAACTAAACAAACTAACGCAATGCCTTATGATATGAATGTAGGCACATGTGTGGTGTACAAGCAACACAAACAAAGGACTCAAATAAAACCCTAACACAAAGAATCTTCAATCAAGATTGTTTCCTTCAATGTTAGAATAAGTCTTTAAATAGCAATGCAGATTCTGGACTTTTCCAATGGGAATTTGATCAGGTCTAGTAACATAGGGTATCTTGTTAAGATTTATTTTTCAAATATCCACAAAAAAGATTTGATTGATTTAAATTTAAATCTCCATTTAAATTGATTTGACCACGCAAAACAACTACAACATTAGCCTGCTAACAAGGGCCAGATTTTGCACACATGTTGGGACATCAGTTCCCATATGTGTCCTTTCTTCATAAAAACAGCTTGAACATTCCATATTGTTTTGCATAATGCAGTCAATCCAAAAAGGAACAACAACCTCCCCCTTTTGAAAATTTTAGAAAAATAACACTTTCAAAAACATACAAGATGTGCAACATAAGTTGAGCATTAAGCACACCACACACAATCTCACAAAGCAAACAACAGCAACAGAAGTAGCACAATCATAAGACATGAAAAATAATGCTCCATACATTCATGCACACAATTAGACATCATGCACACAAATCAGTAGTCAGTAGTTAGCACACACCACAACTACTAGACAAAGTCAGTTCACTCATAACACACAAATAAATCAACTCATATAGGCATCCAGAGATGAGGGTTAGATGTTAGGCCAGATGCTCCAGTATTTGAGCACACAATCATAACACCCCGGTTAGTTAGACACATTCATGACAAATTCCCACCATAGTTAGTTAGGCACATATTCCTAACAAGTTCCTACTCCCCCTTTTTTCCACAATTTGGCAAAGCTATTAGCACGGTCAGCACAACCAATGGACATATTATTCAATAGTAGACACATATTAACCATGAGTGCAAATGTTGAACATAATGCTAGAACATCAGGATTGAAAATCATATTTTGTACACTTTATATCAATGGCACAGTGCATAATGATTGCTAATGCTACAAGATCATTACAAAATCAACAACCTAGTGTGCCCATATACAAGGGGGGAAAAACATGATCAAAGCATAAAGTGTTACAGACAACTTTTGCACCCCAAATTTTGACCCCTTAGATCTTCATAATCATTCTAGGATTATTTTCATTTAATTATCTAACCATAACCTATTTCAAGTTTTTCTTTGTTAAGATACAGGTGAATTAGGGTTCCGTACAGCCAGGAATCGAAGTCTCGACGGTTTAATCAGTCAATGTGTTGGATTGATTCTCCATGAAACAAGTATCCACATCATCAAAGATACTCCATTGGGTCAAGTATGAATCCAATTTGAGGTTGTCACCCAAAGATTAAAGACAATGTAGTTCAGGATCCCCGATTAGGGTTTTCAATTAGGAAAAGTCAACCGTAGTTTAACTTTTTGATGTAAAAGGTGTTCCAATGAGGTAATTATGGTATATGAAGTTCATATGGCTTAGTGAAGTCCACTCAAGGAGTTTAAAGGCCTCAGGAGACCCAGAACATCAACAGTCGACTCGGTAGTCATTGATCGATCGTTCGGTTGACCAAAAAGTCAACTCTTCAATCA